AGAGGGGGTAAAGGAGGTTTTGTGTGCGAGGGGCTTGGACTTCCAGCAGGCATGCGTGAGCGTGTTTGATAGGAGTGAATGGAGACAAATGGTTTTTAATACTTGACGTGCTGTTGGAGTGTGAGCAAAGTAACATTTATGAAGGGGTTCAGGGAAACCGGCAGGCCGGACTTGAGTCCTGGAGATGGGAAGTACAGTGCCTGCACTCTGAAGGAGGGGTGTTAATGCTGCAGTTTAAAAACTGTAGTGTAAAGCACCCTTCTGGCAAGACAGTGATGGAGTGAATGATGGTGAAAGTTTTTCTTTTTCGGGCCACCCTGCCTTGGTGGGAATCGGCCAGTGTGATAATAATAATAAAAAAAAAAAATAATAATAATAATAATAATAATAATAATAATAATAATCACCGAGTCCCATTAAATGTCGTATATTACGTTAACCCCTTCAGGGTCCAAGGCACAAATCTGAAGTGGTGCCCCAGTTTCCAAGAATTTAAAAAAAAAAAAACTTGTTATTTTTTTTTATGAAATGGTAGAGAATCTTTTTGTGAAGGTAATAAAACAAGAAGTACGAAATTTGATGGAAAATTGACGAAATTATGCTCTCGCGAATTTTGATGTGTCAGCGATATTTACGAATCGGCGATTTTGCCGACTTTGACTCCCATTTTAGGCCAATTACATTATTCCGGTCAACCAAATTCTTAGCTATTTCACTAGTATTACTTCTATTTTATCGATTGAGCACAAGAAATCGCGAAGTCAACTGTTTCAACTACAAAATAAAGTGATCGGAAATTGTTAATTTGGCCAATTTAACACAAAGTTCAAAATATTCCAGTTTCAAAATAGGGCCCAGAATGAACAATGTAGGCATTCCTGGCACTAAACTAACATTTCCTCTGTTCATTAGTTATGTTTTGAGGCTTTACAAATAAATTCCATTTTGATTTTTTATTCACATAATGAATTTTTATTCACACCAAAAAATAGAAGATTTACTGTTATGCAATACTGTAATAATTGTATAAATATCATCACCATATTTGTGAATGTATATTAGACCCACCAGCTGGCGTGTATTAGACGTGTGAGGTCGTTTGTTTACTCTTGAATATCGGCAAAAATTTAACATTTCCGCTACTTTGAACTCAGTTTCAAGTCATTTCCAGTGCTAAAACCAATCAAAATCATCTCTATTTCTGTAACATGTCTTCCATTCTATCAAATGAGATCAAGAAATCGCAAATACAACTATAAAAAACATACAAAAAAACACTGCAAAGTCGCTGTTTTAATCGAAAAATCATGATTTCAGTTTTTTCTCTCATTATACAGTGTGCTGCAGGATTTATTTTATGTGGTGCACACATACCACATAGATGTATTCTCTCATATCTAGGCCCAAATGTACCACTCACAGTTTATCAGAGTGAGCTGAGATCATGACGTTGATCTACGGTTTGGACCCTGAACGTAAAGCCGTAGATCTACGGGACGGACCCTGAAAGGGTTAATATACACATTTTCATTAATCCATCCATGATATTTTTTTCAAAATTATATAATAAACACAATACATAACATATAAAGATGATTAATACACCCCACAATAGAATAAATAAACATAAATATGAGATGTCGTAGCCAGATAACTTGCACAAGTGACGGTAAGAATAAAATTTTCTTTAGTCTAACATAAGAGAAAGTGTGCTACTGGGGGTAACTGTAGAAAATTATTCCTTTCATATGTGTGTAAGTTTTTTCAGGTATACACAAATACAGTTACATAGATTATCATACATAACAGCATGTGTGTAGAGAACTTAGGATAACCCAAAAAAGTCAGACAGTGACTTATTTCCATTGCCTTCACTCAGAGCTTCATTTCTTCTAAAAATGGTGTTACATGAGAATGGGAGTGTTCTTCTTTATTTATTCTACCGTATCAATGTAAAGACAACTTATACACAATGTAACTTGTACACAAACCAGACGTGTTCACTTTGTTTACAAAACTTACCTTTGCCTGGTTTGTTTACATAACTCTGCACTTGTCCTCCCTCATGTACTGACTCTCTCTCTCATTTATTCGTTTTATCTCATTTACTCACCTCTGACCCTACATTAAGACTACAAATATTTTAAGGTAAGTAATGAGTGAACTGTATTATGTATTTTATCGCTCTGGGATGCCTAAATATCATAGAATATATGTGTAGGTGGGTTGGCCTGGTATGGTAGCCCGGCTGACTACCATACATACCACACTTAATTTCTTACAATAAATACTACTTGTCTCACCTTAGATTAAGACTATAAATATTTTAAGGTATGTAATGAGTGTAATATGTGTGTATTGTACTTTTTTATTGTTTTTTGATGATTAGTTCTATTGCTAACTAATATATGTTAGTGTAAACTTATTATCTAGTATTTGTATGCATTTATAAGTGGAAAAAAAGGGTGTTCCACTTTACAGCGATTTCAGCTTTACAGCGATAGCCTGGAACCTAACCTGCCATATAAGTGGGGCCCTACTGTATTTTATTCATTGTTTCTATATTATTAATATTGTTTATAATGTCATATTAGATGAACTGTGATAGATAAGTAAGCTGTGGAGATGATATTAGCATCATATTAAAGCATAATAAACTTGTCTTCCTCTTGCCTCCTACGTGTCTGTCATACACCTACAAGTCGAGTCAGCAAAGATAAGTCAATAAAGGTAAGTGCTATGTTAAATGTTCATTTATCTATTTTATTAGTGCTTATATTTATTTGTCATTGTTTTCTGTACGTATATTTATATTTAATCTTCAAAAAAAAATTTTTTTTTCATACTTTGGGGTGTCAGGAATGGATTAATTCTATTTCCATTATTTCTTATGGGAAAATTAATTCGACCAACGGCAAGCCCTCTGGAACGGATTAATGCCGTTGGTTGAGGGTCCACTGTGTATGCTTCTAAACTGTTGTATCTGGGCACCTCTGCAAAAACAGTGATTATGTATGAGTGAGGTGAAAAGTGTTGAATGATGATGAAAGTATTTTCATTTTGGAGATTTTCTTTCTTTTTAGGTCACCCTGCCTAGGTGGGAGACGGCCGCCTTGTTGAAAAAAAAAAAATCTGACATAAGTGAAACAGGTTGCAAGAGAACCCCGTCAATGAAGCTTGTTCTAACTCAAAAAGGTATGAACTGAGGATAAACTAAGAGAACTGAATCTAATGACATTGAAGGACAGAAGAACCAAGGAAGATAAGATAACAACGTACAAAATATTTAGGGAAATTGATAGGGTAGACAGGCAACCACCACCACGCACCACCATCAACCAAAACCATCCACTATCACCACTTATGACTTTCTTCCACCACCCTCCCACCAGTGAATGTTACATACAATAACTGTTGAGGTAGCAATAATCAATCTGCAATATAAATGTGAATATTTATTCACATTTATATTGCAGATTGACTAATGAATAAACAGTAGGTTGGATGAGGAGCTCGAACTACAGTCCATCCTTCTGCTTATTCACTGACAGTTGTTTATTACAAGTTAATCTGAGTCTGTAGAGACTATATTTATTTTCTTCAAACACTGGTTTACCTTCTTAAGGCAAGACAATGAAAGAATCTGAGCACTCACAAAGACATTGACAATCTGATGTGGGATGGGTCGGCGGTCCCTCTTACAAGGAAACTATAAAAATAGACAGGTCTTGGACAAAGCCTGAACCAGACAAACTTGCAATTAGGCAGAAACAGTGGACCCTCAGTTATCGGCTGTAATCCGTTCCAGAAGCTCGGCCTAAAACCGAAATGGCCAAAAACTGAAATAATATTTCCCATAAGAATTACTGTAAATACAATTAATCCGTTATCGACACCCAAAAATATTCACAAAAAATAATTTTTTTTAAAGATTAATTATAGTTTTATATACACAAAACAATGAGAACTAAATAAAATAAATACATGAACAATTAAATCAGTACTACATACCATTACTGAAGCCTCTTCTTGGCTTATGGAAGACAGGGAGGAGGAGAGAGGCTTGAGAGTCACTGTACCCCTACAACTCAATCCACTTTACACACATGTCCTTAATCACTGAAGAAGGCACATTCTCTCCTTTCTCTTCCTCCTCCTCTGAAGCAATTTCCTCAGCTGCAGTCTGTTGCTGTTCCAGATGAAGGACTTGCAGCTCTACCCTCTACCACCATCACAACCACTACCACCCTCTACCACCATCACTACCACCCTCTACCACCATCACTACCACCCTCTACAACCACCACTCTGGAACTTTGCTACAATTTACTTCTTAAATTCCATCGTGTTTCTCACTTTCTTTACCAAAGAAACTTTCTTTGGGATCATGGTTACTTAATTCGCAGTTGCACTTAATAAATAACCACCAAAAACAATGGATTATAATGCAATGTTTGGATGAATGAGCAGAAGCTTCCTTACTCACCCAGAGATACAGCTAGACTGAAGCGATAGTGGCTGGCGGCAGTGGGTTGATGAGTCCCATATGGCCGATAAGCGAAATAAAGGCCGATAACTGGAAGCCGAAACACCGGCTGAACCGAGTTGGCTAATAAGTGGAACAGCCGATATCCAAGGGTCCACTGTATGATCAACATTATCAATGGTAAAACAAGACCTGACAACCATGCAATATAGTGAATTTGGTCTGTTGCATTGCTATTCTTATTGGACACTCCGTTAAGTGGACATGTTGTTCATTTTATCTGAGATATCCACTTTTTGGAGGCCCCATTTTATTTAGATTTAACTACATTTTTTAGCATTAAATATGTTTTTAACACAGTGGCTATTCTCTCACCAATATAATAAACAAAAAAAAAAGTATAACCAATTCCTTTAAAATAATAACAAATAAAATTTGTATTGCATTAAACAATATAAATTATTTCTCTTTGAGAAAACAAATTTTCAAAAAAACTTAAGGGTTTTACACTGACCATATCTGAGGTGGAAGTCATTTGAGTGTTGTCAATGCCTGAGTCATCAGTTAGGTTGAATCCCTGTGATGATGGTAAACTCTCGTCCATCTAAAAGAACATAAAGAGCTTAATGTTACAGTATATATTCTTTACCAGATGAAACTAAAATGGCAAGTCAAATTTTCTCCTCTCAAAATTAATTTTGAGGGGAGACTACAGGTATACCAAGCTTTATGCTGCTTTCCTCTAAGCCAACTCACTATTATATGATATTCTTTTTCTATCAGAAATTCACTATGTGTGATTTACAGTCACCATGGCTTGTAAAGCTCAATGAAGATTCTTATATACATAATACAGTTTATGGCTTGACAACTGCCCAGGGTCTGGAACATCTACAGCATAAAATGAGTGATACCTGTAAATACTGTGATAAATTTTGTAAATGCATTATGTCCAGTATTGCAAAAGCAAAGAAAGGTGAGGGCTTTTATACAATGCAATTTTATCATAAAATATCAAATATATATTTAACGCTAACATTATGAGCTTACAGAAAAAAAAATTAAAACGAGAACAGAAATTTATTATTTTTTTATTTACTAACACATCGGCTGTTTCCCACAAAGGTAGGGTGGCCCGAAAAAGAAAAACTTTCACCATCATTCACTCCATCACTGTCTTGCCAGAGGTGTGCTTACATTACAGTTATAAAACTGCAACATTAATACCCCTCCTTCAGAGTGCAGGCGCTGTACTTCCCATCTCCAGGATTCAGAAATACATACTATTAAAATTATACACCAGAGTATTGTACTGAATTTAAAAATGAATTTACCTTTGACATGTCCATACTTTCAGTTTGCATAGAACATAAGGAAAGGTGACTAGAATGAGATTCAGAGGACTTGGTATTGGCAACTGTAGTCACGCTGCCTGCTGTACTCAGAGCTTCAGGTATTAGTCTCTTTGGTGACATATGCACTTGGTCTAAAACTTGAAGAGAAGATTCACCAACTACTGTGGAAGTTGTGCACACTGGTGTCTGACACTCACTGGATAGGTTGCCATCTGTTGTTATACCTGTGTAGACAAAGTGTTGCAGTATGAAAATTTGATTTATTACCATTCTAGTAAAGTATCTTGAATTTAAACTTCATACCTCTAGGAACATGTGAAATCTTACATGTTTTTGCCACAAATCCAAGAGGAAAATTTGAAACAAACACAGAAAAAGTAAAAAGATGGACTTTCAGAGAAAGTGATAGTTGTGCTGACAGTTATCTAGCTGGTGAAAGTGATATTGAAGAAAAATGATGAGAAATTGGAGAACTGAAGAGGTTGACCAGCAGGAATGGTGATTATGAATGGATGAGGCATTTTCTTACTTAAGTGAAATGAGGAGATGAATTCTGGGAATAATTCACCTAGGAAATTAATAGTTTTCAAGTAGAAGTTAAAAAAAAAAAAAAGATAATACTAAGCCACAGGGAAATAGATAAAAATATACTGAGAGAATCCAAAGAGAAAGTACAGAATATGATGAACCCTAGAGAATAGCAAAGCAAGTAGAAGAACTAGAAATTATATTCAGGTGAGGGAAGATACTAAAAAAAAAAAAAATTGAAATGAACACAGAAGCTAAAGCACAGGACAAAAGCTTCTTCACAGCCACATTAAAAAAAATGACAATAAAGGAGCAAGTGACAACAATGAAGAAAGGTGGAAAACTCACAGGAATGACAGGGAAGTATACAATGAGCTCAACAGATTACAAACAGAAGAGATATTAAACCAAACAGCTATCAAGAACTGAAACAATATAACAGCTGCTCTCAAATGAAAGAAAATCACAGATAACATTATTGACCACTACCCCACCTTCCTCATTACCAGCTTACTGCCTTTTTAATTTTAAGTTAGGCTTAAGTTTGCCTGAAATTTTCTGCATAACAATGAGCCTTCTGTATGCACACCTAAATGTCATCCACTCTGTACAAACATTCTATTATGCTGAAATAAAAATTATTATTATTATTATTATTATTATTGTTATTATTATTATTATGTAAATTACCACAAGACACTAGTAAGATCTCATTTTGTTTCTATGGTAAGACATCTGTAAATAACTTTATTTTAGCACTAAGTGACACTGACTGACACAGACAGTTTGCTGACAATTGGGAAATTGTTGACTGAGTCAGACTTTTTCTTTAAAAACAAAAACACAAAAACAAAACAAAACAAAAAAACTCTACAATAGACATTGTCCAATTAAAACTAAACAGATCACAGCAAAGAGACTAACTAGCTCATGACTTACAAACAGCATCCTCAAGGCCCACTGACAAAAATGTAACTATGAAAAAATTCAGACTGTGCTTAATAACTAAGGAATAGACCAAGCAATATACATGTATGTCATATTTGCCAATTTAACAAGGAAATCTAAACAACTTTATCATGTGTGAGCAGGGTAATATTTAGTGAAGGGATTCAGGGAAACTGGTTATTTTTATATAGCCGGACTTGAGTCCTGGAAATGGGAAGTACAATGTTACCTGCACTTTAAAGGAGGGGTTTGGGATATTGGCAGTTAGGAAGGATATGTTGTGTATCTTTATAGGTATATGCTTCTAAACTGTTGTGTTCTGAGCACCTCTGCAAAAACAGTGATTATGCATGAGTGAGGTGAAAGTGTTGAATGATGATGAAAGTATTTTCTTTTTGGGGATTTTCTTTCTTTTTTGGGTCACCCTGCCTCAGTGGGAGACGGCCAACTTGTTAAAAAAAAAAAAAAAAAAAAAAAAAAAAAAAAAAAAACACTGGAAAACCCTCTCCAAAATCCAGGGCTCACAAAAACTTGCCAAAACCAGAGATACAGTTTAAACTAAACCAGATGAACCTCACATCCAGCCTGCAGAAACAGCCAACATACTAAATGATTTTTTCTCTACTACAAGATAAAGACTAGCCAGTAAAATCCCAACTAAACATGTTCAGACAAGTGACTACCTTACTGGAAAATTCCCAAATTCACCATATCTAGCTCCTACTAATCCTACTGGGGTCACACTTACAATAAATTCATTGAAAAACAAGACAGGAAGCCTAAATAATTTACTACCACTAATGTACACAAAAGCAGCTCATGTGCTGTCACCCACTATTGCAACTCTGTTCAACAAATCATTAAAATCTGCAACTTTCCCAATGATGCTTAACCCTTTGAGGGTTTCGGACGTACTAGTACGGCTTACGACCCAGGGTTTTTGACGTACTAGTACGCCTAAATTCTAGCGCCCTCAAATCTAGTGGGAGAAAGCTGGTAGGCCTTCATATGAAAGAATGGGTCTATGTGGTCAGTGTGCACAGTCTAAAAAAAATCCTGCAGCACACAGTGCATAATGAGAAAAAAAAAAACTTTGACCGTTTTTTTGGAATAAAACAGCGACTTTGCGCTGTATTTTCGTATGATATTTATTTTTGTATTCCAGTTTTCTTGATCTCATTTTATAGAATGGAAGACATATTATAGAAATTGAGATGATTTTGACTGGTTTTACAATGAAAGGTACCTTGAAATTGAGCTCAAAGTAGCAGAAATGTTCGATTTTTACCAAATTTCAAAAGTAAACAAATCGTGCCAAGCGTCCAATACACGTCAACTGGTGAGTTTAATATTCTTTCACAAGTGCGCCAATAATATTTATACCATTTTTTACACTAATGCAGTAGTCTGCATAACAGTAAATCTTATATTTTTTGTGAGAATAAAAATTCAAAGTGGAAAGCAAAAGAATATAAGAGGGGCCTTGACACGTGACTAATGACCAGAGGAAATGTCATTTTAGTGCCAGGAATGTCTTTCTTGTTTATTCTGGACCCTATTCGGAAATTGGCATCTTTTGAAATTTGTGTGAAATTGGCAAAATTGCTAAATTCTGACCACTGTACTGGATAGTTGAATTTCATAAATGGGTGGTTTCTTGCACCCGTTCGATAGAAAAAATGGAGTTCTAGCGAAATATTCATGTTTTTTGTCGACTAGTACAGTGGAATTGGCCGAAAATGGGGCTCAAAGTGGGCAAAATCGCCGATGCGTAAACATCGCCGAGACCGCTAACTTTGCGAGAGCATAATTCCGTAAGTTTTCCATCAAATTTCAAACTTTTGGTGTCCTTATGATCGGGAAAAGATTCTCTATCTTTTCATAAGAGAATTTTTTTTTTTTTTAAATTTGGCCAATCCTGAGAATGAGTTTCGGAGAGGGCCTGTCGACCCTCAAAGGGTTAATTAAGGTAGCAAGTGTTACCCTGATACTCAAAGGAAACGATCCAACTGAGGTAAATAACTGTAGGCTAATATCCAAATTGCCTTTACTATCTAAAATCTTTGAAAAAATAATTCATAAATGAGTTTACTCCTACTAGTGTCTCACAATATATTTACCCCTGACAGTTTGGATTTAGGTTGAAAAAAGTACAAATGATGCAGTTATAAAAGTGCTTGAACTTCTTTATGAAGCTCTTGAAAATAATGAATATCCTCAGGACCTCTTCATAGACCTATGGAAAGCTGTTGATACAGTGGACCATATTCTGCACCTTAAACTAGAACATTATGGGGTGAGATGTCATATTCCTGCAGTCTTATAATAGCAACAGACACCAGTATGGCTCCATCAACAGCATAACCTCATCAACTCAGCCTGTCAATGTAGGAGTGCCTAAAGGTAGTGTTCTTGGGGCCTTTACTCTTTCTTACATACATCAATAAATCTCATTTCCCTGAACCCATTCTGTTCACAAATAACATAACTCTTGTAATCTCCAACTAAAATCCTACTACATGACATTTGGAACAAGAGCTTCAAATATCCTACTAAATATAATGATCAATGGTTCTGTAGATGAATGGTTCAAAGAACCAACAAGTTGTTAAATCGACTCAAGGCTGAGGGACTGATTACCTCATTCTCCTCCTGTTCTTCAAGTTTATTCTTTGTATGGACTGATGAAGCCACTGTGTGATGAAACGTTTCCTCAATAAAGATACCCAAGAGTTGCACATGTGTTTAATTTAACATCAATGGTTCTCCCATTCTAAGACATCAAGGGTAAATTCTTAAGTCTACAACTTGAAATTTAATACCAACATCATCTGTATCTTTATACATATATGCTTCTAAACTGTTGTGTTTTGAGCACCTCCGCAAAAACAGTGATTATGTGTGAGTGAGGTGAAAGTGTTGAATGATGATGAAAGTATTTTCTTTTTGGGGATTTTCTTTCTTTTTGGGTCACCCTGCCTCGGTGGGAGAAGGCCGACTTGTTAAAAAAAAAAAAAAAAAAAAAAAAAAAAAATCCAGCACATTACTAAGTCTCCAAAATAGTAGGCATCCTCTCCAAGATATGTTACTCTGAAGATTGAGACACTTATGCAACATATGGGAATCTTTATTGAGGAAACATTTCACCACACAGTGGCTTCATCAGTCCAATACAAAGCAGAAAGGTGTAAGGAGAAAAGGAGTTGAGGTAATCAGTCCCTCAGCCTGGAGTTGATGTGTTCAGTCCATCAATCTTGTAGAATGTACAGCATAGGGCCGTATACGTGGCTTGTATACTGTAGTCAGGTGAGGTGAAGCAGGAGGAGGCGGGGTCATAGTGGCACCATCCACTAGTCTAAGTAGGTCTTCGTCCTAAGGTTGGAAAAGTTTTGAAGAATTCTTTGTATCAAGATCCTATGATGATGCAGTATCTGACAGTTGTGATGAATGGTTTGAAAACCGACAAGTTGAAGACTGAGACACTTAAGCAACATATGGGAATCTTTATTGAGGAAACGTTTTGCCACACAGTGGCTTCATCAGTCCAATACAAAGCAGAAAGATGTAAGGAGAGGAGGGGTTGAGGTAATCAGTCCCTCAGCCTGGAGTCGATGTGTTCAGGCTGAGGGACTGATTACCTCAACTCCTCCTCTCCTTACACCTTTCTGCTTTGTATTGGGCTGATGAAGCCACTGTGTGGCTTTGTATTGGACTGATGAAGCCACTGTGTGGCTTCGTATTGGACTGATGAAGCCACTGTGTGGCTTTGTATTGGACTGATGAAGCCACACAGTGGCTTCATCAGTCCAATACAAAACAGATGATGAATGTATGATGAATGTTGAAGACAAGAGTAAAACAACTGAAGCTAAATCAAGTTTATAAAATTGCTCACAGTGCCCAGAATATCTTGCTGCCAATTTTGTCAAGGCTGGGCACCAAAGCAATCATAGTACAGTGGTACCTCGGGTTACAAACAGCTCAAAACTCGAACAATTATGTAAGTGTATCTATGTAAGTGCTTTTGTAAGTGTATTTTTGGGGGTCTGAAACAGACTAATCTAATTTACATTATTTCTTATGGGAACAAATTCGTTCGGTATCAGCACTCGAACAGCCTTCTGGAACGAAAAAAGTTTGTATCCTGAGGTACCACTGTACTAGAGGGAGAGAGCACAACTTTGTAGTACCCAGTTAGTGGCCATGCTTCAAACACCTTTTATTTTATTTTTATTTTATTATCACACTGGCCATTCCCACCAAGGCAGGGTGGCCCGAAAAAGAAAAACTTTCACCATCATTCACTCCATCACTGTCTTGCCAGAAGGGTGCTTTACACTACAGTTTTTAAACTGCAACATTAACACCCCTCCTTCAGAGTGCAGGCACTGTACTTCCCATCTCCAGGACTCAAGTCCGGCCTGCCGGTTTCCCTGAACCCCTTCATAAATGTTACTTTGCTCACACTCCAACAGCACGTCAAGTATTAAAAACCATTTGTCTCCATTCACTCCTATCAAACACGCTCACGCATGCCTGCTGGAAGTCCAAGCCCCTCGCACACAAAACCTCCTATACCCCCTCCCTCCAACCTTTCCTAGGCCGAACCCCTACCCCGCCTTCCTTCCACTACAGACTGATACACTCTTGAAGTTATTCTGTTTCGCTCCATTCTCTCCACATGCCCCGAACCACCTCAACAACCCTTCCTCAGCCCTCTGGACAACAGTTTTGGCAATCCCGCACCTCCTCCTAACTTCCAAACTACGAATTCTCTGCATTATATTCACAACACACATTGTTCTCAGACATGACATCTCCACTGCCTCCAGCCTTCTTCTCGCTGCAACATTCATCACCCATGCTTCACACCCATATAAGAGCGTTGGTAAAACTATACTCTCATACATTCCCTTCTTTGCCTCCAAACTATACTCTCATACATTCCCTTCTTTGCCTCCAAGGACAAAGTTCTTTGTCTCCACAGACTCCTAAGTGCACCACTCACCCTTTTCCCTCATCAATTCTATGATTCACCTCATCTTTCATAGACCCATCCGCTGACACGTCCATTCCCAAATATCTGAATACATTCACCTCCTCCATACTCTCTCCCTCCAATCTGATATCCAATCTTTCATCACCTAATCTTTTTGTTATCCTCATAACCTTACTCTTTCCTGTATTCACTTTCAATTTTCTTCTTTTGCACACCCTACCAAATTCATCCACCAATCTCTGCAACTTCTCTTCAGAATCTCCCAAGAGCACAGTGTCATCAGCAAAGAGCAACTGTGACAACTCCCACAACTCTACAGCAATAAAGGAATGGAACAGACTGCCCGCAAATGTCAAAGCCAGTCATAGCATGAACCAGTTCAAGAAGAGTGCCAAAAGATGCCTGATGAATGTAGCTACATGCCGACCTAGAAAATGTACAGAGAACTTTCACGGCGCGCATAACGGAGATAAAACACCTCAATTACTGGGAGCGCTTGAGGTTCCTAAACCTGTATTCCCTGGAATGCAGGAGGGAGAGATACATGATTATATACACCTGGAAAATCCTAGAGGGACTAGTACCGAACTTGCACACGAAAATCACTCACTACGAAAGCAAAAGACTTGGCAGACGATGCACCATCCCCCCAATGAAAAGCAGGGGTGTCACTAGCACGTTAAGAGACCATACAATAAGTGTCAGGGGCCCGAGACTGTTCAACTGCCTCCCAGCACACATAAGGGGGATTACCAACAGACCCCTGGCAGTCTTCAAGCTGGCACTGGACAAGCACCTAAAGTCAGTTCCTGATCAGCCGGGCTGTGGCTCGTACGTTGATTTGCGTGCAGCCAGCAGCAACAGCCTGGTTGATCAGGCTCTGATCCACCAGGAGGCCTGGTCATAGATCGGGCCGCGGGGGCGTTGACCCCCGGAACTCTCTCCAGGTAAACAGAAATGGAGGGGAATGATTTTGAATTTTTTTTAGCTAACACACATGTACTTTTACCTTATTCCTAGTAATGACCCTCGTATTGTAGTCATAATGACCCTCATGTAGTAGTCTTAATGACCCTCATGTAGTAGATAGTCTTAACAGTATGATAATAAGATATTTTCTCCTTTAAAGAGTAATAATATGATATTATCTCCTTTATATTATTTAATAATAGTATTATAATAAGATACTATCTCCTTTATAATAATAAGGTAAAAGGACCCCAATGGAAATAAGTCACTCTGTTGACTTTTTGGGTTATTCTAGGTGCTTTACACACATGCTGCTATGTATGATAATCCATGTAACTTTATTTGTTTATACCTGAATAAACTTACTTACCATTCTTTTACCTGGGAATTTCTCTCTCTGAATGGCCTATCTTATACATAGAAGAAATATAGGTTTTGCATGCAAGGAACTTGGACATCCAGCAAGCATGTGTGAGCATGTTAGACAGTGGAGGCAAATGGTTTCTGGGACTTGACGAGCTGTTGGAATGTGAGAAAGCTAACATTTTGTGATGAGTTGAGGAAAACACTACTCCATGGAAAAGTGGAAAGAATTCTTCTTCGATAAGCCATGCATGTTGTAAGAGGAAACTAGAATGTTCGGAACAAGGGGCTAGTAACCCCTTCTGTATAAAGTACTAAATGTAAAAAAAAAAAAAAAAAAAAAAAAAAAAAAAAAAAAAAAAAAAAAAAAAAAAAAAAAAAAAAAAAACTTTGTTTCTTCTCTTTGGGGTCGCAGACAGCCATTCTTTTGAAAATAGTATATATATACTGAAAGATATACACCTCATGGTGTACATATGTTAATAAATTGGTGAATTTTGACACTTGAATGAGGATCTGTCTCTGGATGTTTTGGAGATAGGGTCTGTATAGCTTCCCATAAGCACATCATTATCCTGTTTAAAGCTGCTTTAGTAAATTTTAGAAAACCAACAACGTACCCTTTTTGAATGTTGGAAAGGCCATACTATCATTCTGTTGTGTGCCTGTGTTGACTGGTAACTCATTCTTTGCTTCCCTGGTAAAACTGTTGGATTCTCCAGTGCCTCTCTCACTTGCCAAGGCAGCACTTTGGGATGGGTGAGAGGCATCTCTCCTTCCCACTTCCGAAATAAACCTGGCTTGACCACAAATATTATAATCATTACGTGTACTGTAATTTCTGTCAGTCTTGAGGGTACATGGAGTTATACAAGATTGTGAAGTGTGGCTAGAGGGAATGCTTGGTTGATTGTCTTCAGCAGTTATAGGCTGACACTGTGGGAGCTCTGTCATAGTGGACACCAACTCACTCTTCTCCTTGCCTTTGTTAGACATTTGTGTTGATGACCTGTGAATTCTCTTTCTTTCTGCATATTTTGGTATCTGGGGAAAATAAAAATTATACTCAGGACTCGACTCGACAGGACTTTTATATAAGTATACTATATTTAGAAGAATCATGTTAAGTCTTTTGTAAATATAAAAGACAACTGTAAGTAAGAATAAAATTAAATCCTTTAAGCAGTTTCAAATGTGTATGCTGACAAGTTATGTGAACTCGTTTTTACTTTAAAGTTCTATTGTAAGATTTATTCCAAATATGAGCCAAATGCTAAGGACTCATAAGTAGCAAATGTAGCTGCATTACCACTACTGTTATAATTTCTATAAAAGATCACAAGGTTATCATTGTAATTCTAATTCTGGAAGATATACAATACCTTTTTAAGAGATAAGTGGACTATTAATCAGGACACATATATATCTTATAAGACTGTAAATGTCTAATGTCAGCCAGTACATCTTGGAAAAAAAAAAAGAGGACATCTGTGCCTGTTTATAGTTATACATGTTGAGTGTCATCCATAAATATGCAAGATAAAAATTAGTATGGAAAATTATTATGGTAAAAAGAAAATACAAGACTCATAAATGCATGCAACTGCAACTCAAATTATGAATGACTCACAATTTAAATACTGTTTCTGAGACCACGAAATGTTGCTTTGTCACGTAGTGGGATATATCCTCCATACTCAGGGAGAGGCCATATTTTAGATTGAGGCCCAACTGCATTCTTTGATGTAAAACACCCACCATGATGTCAACTGTCTTCTGGATGCATCCCATACCATACTTTCTCATGTTTATCAGCTCAGTTTTGATCTTTTCATCAGCCTAATTCATCTCTGGATATTAACTCTGGCACCAAAAGAATGCTATTCACGATGAAGATGTCAAGAAAATTTAGCATGAAACAAGCCTAATTTTGATAAAACTGAAAGTGACTGATTCACTGAAGGGTGGTGGATGGGTTATGGACAGAAAAATTACTAAATGTGTAGACTGAGCTGAACACAATGGACACCCCATTTAATGCCCTTATGATCAGAGTGGAAAAGACCTGTCAGACTGTACAATTGTGTTAGAATAGTGTAGAAAGCAGGCTTCTTGATGGTTTAGCCATTTTAAAGTGTGCACTAGGCTGCATGCACTTGGTGCACTGCACCATCAGCATTACCTCCAGTGAACCTTGGCATACGTTTTCTATTTGTTCTCACTCTTTCACACACGCAAGCAAGAAATGAGATACATTTCAGCCACAAAAAGTTTTATGCCAAATCAATTATGTTTGCTTAGTGTATATTGCGTGAATAACAGGCATCCCTTGAACAGAATCAAAGATGCTTATGTAGTAGTCTGTGCTTGTGGAAATGAGGCATAAGCATGACTGTGGCATGGAATATACACATTTCAGCCACAGTTCTAGCTTCCCACCTGTGCAACTACAACAATTCAGCAACATGTGTAATACCTGTTTCCTAGCTGATAAGGTTCATGAGTGGCTCTCTCAGAGAGAGCGGGTAAGTGTGTGAGCCAGCCAAACAGGTATTACACACATGCTGCAGAATTGTCTTTCTCTACTAACTCCGGGGACTCATCAGCGTTAGGACATTCTATCAGGATGCCACTATTAGTGGCATCAAAACTGAAAGGATGTGTCATTATTGTTGCACATTGTATACTCCAGGTATGGGTTATCATAGAAGTTTTCAGTATTTCTTTGACCATGTGTGGCTACATCCATCTCAAGGTCATTAAACTCAGGGCCAACATGACTTTCCTCAAAAAGAAGTGTTAATACAACATGGCATTAGCGAATCCCTGAGGTTTGCCATGCTGTTTATTCTAGTTGGCACTAAACTGAACCAGTGTTCCCATGAGGTACTACATGGTTCCATTCTTTTTATTATGGTGCACACCAAGTGTGCAGACCCATTCTATACTGCCTAGGCCTATCAGGCCTCTAGTGCCAAATTTGAATGCAGGAAAATAGTGCATTGATCAATGTTTGGAGCACTAGCAGAAATGTGTAGATCAATGGTCTGACAGATAAAGGGTTAAACAAACAAATCAAAACTGAATAAAAAATCTGTTTTTGCATATACCATATTTTATTTTTTTTAAAGATATGGGATCCTTAATTACCTTACACTAAGTTACTTAATTTTAAGGTATTATTTACTCTTTTAATTCTTGTCAATGTTGTGAAATTTAATGCTTTATCGTCAAAATTTTCTTGCTAGTATTTCTTAAAATATATTAATTGTATAACAGAACAAATTTTATTATTGTATCATGGTATTTTAGACACAGATATGCAATAATGATTTTTGCTCTATTATATAATAAATACATATGTTAAAGGATGATGAAAGTATTTTCTTTTTAGGGATTTTCTTTCTTTTTGAGTCACCCTGCCTCAGTGGGACACAGCCAACTTGTTAATAATAATAATAATAATAATAATAATAATAAATGCTAGGGTGTTCGGGAGAGGGGTGGGATTAAATTATGGGGAATCAAATTCAAAATGGGAATTGACACAGTTACTTTTTGCTGATGATACTGTGCTTATGGGAGATTCTAAAGAAAAATTGCAAAGGTTAGTGGATGAGTTTGAGAATGTGTGTAAAGGTAGAAAGTTGAAAGTGAACATAGAAAAGAGTAAGGTGATGAGGGTATCAAATTATTTAGATAAAGAAAAAATGGATATCAAATTGGGGAGGAGGAGTATGGAAGAAGTGAATGTTTTCAGATACTTGGGAGTTGACGTGTCGGCGGATGGATTTATGAAGGATGAGGTTAATCATAGAATTGATGAGGGAAAAAGGTGAGTGGTGCGTTGAGGTATATGTGGAGTCAAAAAACGTTATCTATGGAGGCAAAGAAGGGAATGTATGAAAGTATAGTAGTACCAACACTCTTATATGGATGTGAAGCTTGGGTGGTAAATGCAGCAGCGAGGAGACGGTTGGAGGCAGTGGAGATGTCCTGTCTAAGGGCAATGTGTGGTGTAAATATTATGCAGAAAATTCGGAGTGTGGAAATTAGGAGAAGGTGTGGAGTTAATAAAAGCATTAGTCAGAGGGCAGAAGAGGGGTTGTTGAGGTGGTTTGGTCATTTAGAGAGAATGGATTTAAAGTAGAATGACATGGAAAGCATATAAATTTATAGGGGAAGGAAAGAGGGGTAGGGGTCGTCCTCGAAAGGGTTGGAAAGAGGGGGTAAAGGAGGTTTTGTGGGCGAGGGGCTTGGACTTCCAGCAAGCGTGCATGAGCGTGTTAGATAGGAGTGAATGGAGACGAATGATACTTGGGACCTGACGATCTGTTGGAGTGTGAGCAGGGTAATATTTAGTGAAGGGATTCAGGGAAACCGGTTATTTTCATATAGTCGGACTTGAGTCCTGGAAATGGGAAGTACAATGCCTGCACTTTAAAGGAGGGGTTTGGGATATTGGCAGTTTGGAGGGATATGTTGTGTATCTTTATACGTATATGCTTCTAAACTGTTGTATTCTGAGCACCTCTGCAAAAGCAGTGATAATGTGTGAGTGTGGTGAAAGTGTTGAATGATGATGAAAGTATTTTCTTTTTGGGGATTTTCTTTCTTTTTTGGGTCACCCTGCCTCGGTGGGAGATGACCGACTTGTTGAAAAAAAAAAAAAAAATAATAATAATAATAATAATAATAATAAAAAAATTGTTGAATACAAGTTTTCATTCAGTTCCACATTTTGCTTTATTATTTCATCTGAAATTATATTTTTAACTATTCAAACGTTGATCATTGAAACTTTTATTAACAATAGTCCTGTTAGCCCAAGTCTTTCTGCCTGAGCCTTAAGTGTAATATGTACTTTGTAAAAAGATTCACCAATGATAGTAACTTTAAAAAAAAAGAAAGGATATGATTTAATTAATGCTAAATACTGAAGTCATCATACCTGAAGTTTAAGAAGTGAGAGATTACTGCTGAACATTGTCTTTGGTCGTGGTGTGTCTCTTCTCTGGTGAGCTAAGGTTTGTGGCTTTGTATCCTTTCTCTGTTTCTCTGTCACAGTTGGAGAATGATACTGTTGTGAGTCCTGTTTCCATCCTGTTACAGTTGGAGAATGGTACTGTTGTTAAGTCCTGTTTCTCTCCACCTGTAGATGGAGCATAGCACTGTTGTGGGTCCTGCCTATGTCCTTCTATCACAGCTGTAGCATGGTACCGTTGTGGGGTCCTGTTTTTGTCCATCTGGAGGTGGAGTGTAGTACTGTTGTGGGCCCTGTTTCTGTCCTGTCACAGCTGAAGCATGGTACTGTTGTGAGTTCTGTCTCTGTCCTCCTGCAGGAGCTTGAACACAAAACTGTTGTGAGTTCTGTTTCTGTCCTTCTGTAGAAGCTGGTGCATGGTACTGTTGTGGATTTTGTCTATGTTCTGCCATAGTTGGTGCATGGTACTGTTGTGGGTCCTGTCTTTGTTCTGTCATAGTTGGCACATGGTACTGTTGTGGGTCCTGTTTCTGTTGTGTTGTACCTAGAACATGGTATGGTTGTAAGTCCTGTCTTTGTCCCTCTGTAAGAGCTGGAGCATAGAAGTGTTGTTGGTCCTGCCTCTGTCTATCTGTCACTGCTGGTATGAAATACCTTTGTGTATCCTGTTGCTGTCCATCTGTTGTGCCTGGTGCAAAGTACCCTTGTGTATTCTGCTTCTGTCCATCTGTCACAGCTGGTGCAAAGTACTCTTGTGTGTTTTGCCTCTGTTCCTCAGTTTTAGCTGGTGTCAGGTACTTTTGTGTGTCCACTCTCTGTTCATCTACCATAGTTGATGCAAGGTACCTCTGTCTGTCTGGCATCTGTCTGTCTGCCATAGTTGGTGCATAGTACTGCTGTGTGTCTGGCACCTGTCCATCTGTTGCAGACTGTGCATCATACCTTTGTGCCATCATCTGTAACTGTGAAAAATATTTATATTATTTTTTAAAGATTTATAAGAATATGAATCAATGATAAAATAATAATTTAACCACTTCAGGGTCTGCGCCATAGTTTTACAGTTTTGAACTCTGGGTCAGTGCCTTAGTTCTGTGCCATGAGCTCAGCTCACTCAGGTAAGCTGTGAGTGGTAAATTTGGGCCTAGATGTGAGAGAATGGGTCTGTGTTAAGTGTGAACCACATAAAAAAATCCTGCAGGGTGCAGTGCATAACGAGAAAAAACTACGACCATGTATTTTTGTACGGTTTTCATGGTTGCATTCACAGTTTCTTGGTCTCATTTGAGAGAATGGAAGATATATTACAGAAAAAGAATGATTTTGATTAGTTTTAGGACTGAAGTAGCTTGAAATTGAGTTCAAAGTAGTGGAAATATGTATTTGGTTTTTGCTGATGTTCAAGGGTAAACAAATCACATCATGCGTCCAATACACGTCAAATGGTGGGTCTAATATACATTCACAAACTGGTTGATATTATTTATACAATTATTAAAAAATGCACAACAGTAAATCTTCATTTTGTTGGTGTAAATAAAAATTCTTTGTGTGAATGAGAAATAAAAAATAGAGTTCATGTGTAAAGCCTGGATATGCAACTAATGAACAGAGGAAATGTTACTTTAGTGCCAGGAATGCCTGCATTGTTTATTCTGGACCCTATATTGAAATTGGAATTTGTGTGAAATTGGCCAAATTACTAATTTCTGATTGCTTTAATAGGTAGTTGAAATAGCTAAATGGGCAGTTTCTTGTGCTCAGTCGATGAAATGGAAGGCATACTAACTAAGAATTTGGTCAACTGGAACAATATAATTGGCCTAAAATAGGACTCAAAGTGGGCAAAATTGCCAATGCATAAATATGCTATTGCAAAATTTGCAATAGCATAATTTCAGCAATTTTCCATCAAATTTCATACTCTGTTATATTACCTTCAGAAAAAAGGTTCTCTACCATTTCATAAAAAAATATTAAATTTTTTTTTAAATTCTTGGGACCTGTGGACAAGTTTCAGATTGGGGATCTGGACCCCTCAAAAGTTTAATGCATTTGATAAAGACTAACAAAGAAAAATAATATATGTCAGGCTTAACAAAAAATGTAATTATTAAATCTATTGTTCTTAACCATTCTCTACTAAACAAATATGAACCCTTTACAACGAAATTGGACAATTTCCACAAAATGAAATTGTAACAACATTCACTTAATAATCTACACTTTAAAGTATCACTTATCAATAAATTCCACTAAATAACTAACTTCAGTATTGATCCCAAATTACCCTTTAAATTTTAAATAAAATAAAAACATAAATATCTTTATTTCTACAAGTATGTACATGTAGAGTGTATACAGGCCTAACTGACATAAATTACATACTACAGGTTGGCCATCACTAATCTGGCAAACAGTTATCCGGTTCCATCAGTAATCTGGCACTAATTTCAGCTAGCATAATTTCAAATTTCATCATTATACTGACTCAAATTTCATCATTATACTGACTCAAATTTCATCATTATACTGACTCAAATTTCATCATTATACTGACTCAGCAATTGTGCAGATGGTTGTAAATCCACAATAGCAAGCCAGTGGAGGAGAAAGCAGTGATGAAAATGAGGAAAATGTAGCAGAAAGTCTTTATTGATAGGTTAATTAAGTGTATTCTAACCTAACCACTCTGTAATCCAGCAAACTCACTAATCTGGCACATTACAGGTCCCACTGATGCCGGATTAGTGATGGATAACCTGTACTATATAGAAAGCCCCTTGTTGTGCACAGCATTTTGGCCAAATTAGGTCAATTTTGTCCCAGGATGCGACCCACACCAGTCTACTAGCACCTAGGTACCCCTTTTACTGATGGGTGAACATGGACAGCAAATGTCTCATGGAATCATGTCCTAATGTTTTCCAGCTGTACAGGGGATTGGCCCCCAGACCTCAGTGTGTGAGCTGAGTGAGCTAGCAATCGAGCTATGGGACACCCAACTACGGAACATCCAACAAGCTTCTATGAGTGTGTTAGACAAGAGTGGAGCCAAGTCATTTTTATGACTTGATGTACTGTTGGGGTGCAAGCATGGTAATATTTATGAAGGATCTCAGGAAAACTGGTCAGCTGACTCAAGTTCTGGAGGTGGGAAGCACAGTGCCTGCACTCTGAAGGAGGGGTGGGGATGTTGTAGATCAGAAGGCCATTTGAACTGTGATGTCACCATGCATTTGCATGCATCTGGCAAGACAGTAACTGAATGAGTGACTGTGAAAGTGTTTCCTCTTTACTGTGGGGTCACCCTACTTATATAGATGGCTGCTGTGTTGATAAAAAATATAATCCAAATTTTATTAAGTGGTCATTATTTACTTGCATTTATTGTTCAAACACAGTAAACAAATATAAACACACACTCACACAAATGTGTTTATGATGTGTACACCTAAGGCACAAACCTGGTTTCTCTGATAGAGTTCTAACCAGGTTAACTGGAGGCCCTAGAATTGTAGCATAAATTTACACCAACAGCACTTTCCCAGCTGGAGTAAATTTGTCATCAGCAGCTTAACCCTTTGACTGTTTACATCGTATATATACGTCTTACGCGCCACTGTTTCTGACGTATTTATATGCGTATATTCTAGCGGCTTCAAGTCAAGCAGGAGAAAGCTGGTAGGCCCACATGTGAGAGAATGGGTCTGTGTGGTCAGTGTACACCACATAAAAAAAATCCTGCAGCATGCAGTGCATAATGAGAAAAAAAAAACTGACCGCTTTTTTGGATTAAAACGCTGACTTTGAGGTGTATTTTCGTGTAGTATTTATTGTAGTATAATGGAAAACATATTACAGAAATAGAGATGATTTTCATTACTTTCACGATGAAAACGACCTTGAAATTGAGCTCAAAGTAGCAGAAATATTCGATTTTTACCAATGTTCAGGAGTAAGCAAATTACACCACACGTCCAATACACGTCAACTGGGGAATCTAATATTCTTTCACAAGTGCACTGATATTATTTATACCATTTTTACAATAATGCAGTAGTCTGCATAACAGTAAATTTTGTATTTTTTTGTATGAATATTATTATAATCAAAAAGAAGGGCTAAGCCACAAGGGCTATACAGCTTTGTATGAATAAAAAATCAAAATAGAAAGCAATAATAATATAAGAGGGGCCTAGAGGCATTACTACTGAACAGAGGATATGTTATTTTAGTGGCAAGAATGTCTGCATTGTTTATTCTGGACCCTATTTTGAAATTGGCATCTTTTTTAATTTGCATGAAATTGGCCAAATTGCCAATTTCTGATCACTTTATTGGGTAGTTCAAATCAGTAAATGGACGGTTTCTTGACCTCAACTGATAGAAAAAATGGAGTTCTAAAGAAATAGCTGTGAGTTTGGTCAACTGGAACAACAGAATTGGCCAAAAACAGGGCTCAAAGTCGGCAAAATTGCCAATGCGTATATGTCGCCGAGACCGCTAACTTCACGGAGCGTAATTCCGTGAGTTTTCGACCAAATTTCGTACCTTTGGTGTCATTACCATCGGGAAAAGATTCTCTATCATTTCATAAGAAAAAATAATTTTTTTTTCCAAAACTTTTGCGACATAGAAAGAGTTTCAGAAAGGGGCTTGCGACAGTCAAAAGGTTAAGGGTTAAATAATCAAACTTAAAATGTCAGTTTATTTTTAAGGTGTATATACAATGGAACCCCTGCTCATGAGTGCATCCATGTGCGAGTTTTTCCAGATACGAGCAGTCGCTCGGTCGATTTTTTGCTTCCAGATGCGAGCAAAATTTCCAGATGCGAGTGGGCCTCAAGGGAGGTTCCCTGATGCTGGTGAGAGGCTCTTGTTCTTGATCAAGGGAATTGGATCTCAGTTGTTTGTTGGACTATCTTATTGAAACTTGCGCAATGTATGATGGAAAGATGCTTCTTAGCGTACACCAAAAATGAAGGAAATCGAACCATAAATAACAGAGTTATTTGTGGTCCGATTTGTCAGCAGTGGCAGACAACATGAGGTAACAGTGGCAGACAATATCAAATCAAATCCAATCTAGTTTATTCTCTATAAAGATTACAATGTGGGGTTTACATATTATAGGATATTGTATGGTTTACATATTATATAAAACTAATTAGAGAGAGGGCCACTATCACATTTAGCATGACTAGGCATTTCGGGTAGACTAAGATCAATTCAAAACTTTATATTGGTACAGATTAAAAAGCATATTGGTATTAAGGTAGCAGTGGCAGACAACATGAAGCAGCAGTGGCGGACAACATGAAGCAGCAGTGGCAGACAACATGAAGCAGCAGTGGCGGACAACATGAAGCAGCAGTGGCAGACAACATGAAGCAGCAGTGGCGGACAACATGAAGCAGCAGTGGCGGACAACATGAAGCAGCAGTGGCGGACAACATGAAGCAGCAGTGGCTGATAACATGAAGCAGCAGTGGCGGACAACATGAAGCAGCAGTGGCAGACAACATGAAGCAGCAGTGGCGGACAACATGAAGCAGCAGTGGCGGACAACATGAAGCAGCAGTGGCAGACAACATGAAGCAGCAGTGGCGGACAACATGAAGCAGCAGTGGCGGACAACATGAAGCAGCAGTGGCTGATAACATGAAGCAGCAGTGGCGGACAACATGAAGCAGCAGTGGCGGACAACATGAAGCAGCAGTGGCAGACAACATGAAGCAGCAGTGGCGGACAACATGAAGCAGCAGTGGCGGACAACATGAAGCAGCAGTGGCAGACAACATGAAGCAGCAGTGGCAGACAACATGAAGCAGCAGTGGCGGACAACATGAAGCAGCAGTGGCGGACAACATGAAGCAGCAGTGGCTGATAACATGAAGCAGCAGTGGCGGACAACATGAAGCAGCAGTGGCAGACAACATGAAGCAGCAGTGGCGGACAA